ACACACACACACACACACACACACACACACACACACACACACACACAAATATAACACACATATACCACACACACATATATAACAATACACTCCACACACATACATACCATACACACACACACACTACACATCACACACACATATAAATCACACATACACCACACACACACCATACCACACACGCACACACCCATACTATACAAATACCCTATACACATCACACCACACCATACACTCTCTCCACACACACACACACAGAAATTCACACACACAAATCCACACACAAATATACTCCATATACGGCACCCCCCACATAACACACATGTGCTTGCTTATACACAAATACACCATACACCTTTGCTCACACACACACTGTCACATACACACAACATACACTATGAACGTACCTCAAAACATCAACAGCCACAGACTCATTCATCCCCAAAGAATTGCCTTAATCTGACCTGCCTCCTGAAATACCAAAAGAATGACTTATAAAAGCCGTCAGTATCTAATCTGACTTGGAGTTCGGCCAAGGCAAATATCATTTCCCCGGAGACATTTGCCAAGACAGTGGCAGGCGGAACTCTGAAACACCTCAGGCAGCACTTAACAGTTGAGACGCCGCTAACCACAAAGCTTAAGAGGACTAACTGAGAGGAGAGGAAGAAGGTCCTGTCAGCAAAACTGATAAAGTAAATCCTTCTACATAGCCACCCTTCCCTAGACATGGTCCCAGTTAGCTGTGGTGATGCAAGGAGAGGTCATTCAAGACAAGCGGCCCAATCTTGATGCCAATGGCCAACTCTGTGACACCCTTACCTGCACTAGTCTCTTCCTTTAGTCTCCAGCTCAGCAGTGGCTAGAAGTATTGTAGACTCCATTAGCGCAACCAGTGGGAGAGGAACAGAACTGGGGGAGGGGATGCTTTCAACGTCTCATTCTCCCCAAAACTGTCATGGTGTGACCTGCATGGGCTCCCCAAAAACCCCCCTCACACAACTGATTGAGGCATCCTTGGTGCCTAATGCCTTTTCCCTGGGGGTGTGGGAGTGTATTCAAATGCAGTTACAGACAAGTGTCCTCACTTCTTGTCTGTCTGAAGGGTGGATAAGAGATAAGACAACAGAGATATAAACAAATAGATGTCTAAAGAATCAAGTGTGTACAGGAGGTTTGGAAACTTCCAGCATATCTCAGACACACAGAGGCCCCAGAGATGAGTAAAGCTATAAGCAGCTTGGGAAATATCTGGGCGTTTCAGACTTCTTTCTGCCAGCTGGCCTTGGGGTGTGCAAACAGAAAATGAAGGGTGAGTCAAAATTAGAGACTGCTTTGCCTTATAGTCAAAATTATAGACAACTTAGCCATAGAGATGGCAAGTTACAATATGCCTCCAGTGGTCCTCTGCAAACACTGGGAGATCTTCCAGCCAAAAAGACATCTGTGACTTTAAAGAATTCATTCAGAAGAAGCAGGAAACAATTACCACAATGAACAAAAAGGACAAACCCTCTAGATGGGGGGAATTAATTTACATTATTTACAATGTTGGGCTGAAAACATACAAATGGGCTAGAGAGATGGCTCTGAGGTTAAGAGCACTCACTCCTCCTTCGGAGGACCCAGTTCAGCTCCCAAATTATATCCGCCTGTAGCGCAAGTTCCAGGGGATCAGATGTCCTCTACTGGACTCTGTAGAAAACTGCACTGTGTATAAATACTGATCACAAGATACATATGCGCATACACATAACTAAAAATAAATAATAAACTATTTTAAAGAAAGCAAACAAAAAATGGAGCATGAAAGAAACAAGAAAGTATACCCCGATCTTTAAGGGTTGGGGAGCGATTAATGAAAGTGTCCCTACAGAAAAACAGATATGGCCCCAAAGCAGGTGTTCTCAACATGCTCCGAGAGCTAAAGGAAACTATATTCAAGTAGGCATCTACCTGCAACTAGAGAAATGATTCCAGGTCATCATGTATAGTCTAGAGTTGGAAAATCACAGAAATGAAGATGCCACTAGAGAGACTTGACAGCAGATTAGAGCTTGTGGAAGACAGTAACCACTGAGCTAGAAAACGTGGTGGTTAAGTCTGTAATATGAGGAACACTAAGAAAGAAGATGGAGGAAAATGAACAACACACCAAACACCTATGATACACCATCAAGCACAGCAATCCACACACCATGGGACTCCCAAAAGGAGGCGAGAGGAAGAAAAAAAGAGATGGTGGTTATGGAAAGAAGTAACATTCCGATGCTCCCAACACTTGGTTTATAAAAACCTTCTGACACACTTAGCAAGTTCCATACTTAGACATACCATAATCAGTCAAAAGGCAAAGAAGACACTTCGTAAGAAATGTCACATTTCAGGTGGCCTCAGATGATTTTCTTACCAGAAAATATAAGGATTGAACAGTGGTTGGATGAAACAAAAACAAATGAGATTTTACCAGTGCTACTGGAACCTCTCAGATTGGAATGAGATAGTAACATGGATTCATACAAGCAAATAATAGACCTCCATGAAGGAAATTATGCTGTTAAACATGAGAAACAATGTTAGTATTTTGGAGGTGGATATGGTGGTACACACTTATAATTCCAGCACTTGGGGGCAGAGGCAGGAGGATTGCTGCAAGTTCAAGGCCAGTTTGATCAAGAATGCAAATTCTTGATTGTAGAGTGAGACCCTCTGTCTAAACAAAGAAGAATCTAAAGCAGGAGAGCATGAGGTTTTTCTGTTATGTTGTCTTCTGGGAAAAGGCATCCTGTAAAGTGATTATGAGGCTAGAGAGACGGCTCAGCTGTTACGAACACTGATTACTCCTGCAGAGGACCCAAGTTCCATCCCAGCACCTACGTGACAGCTCACAACTGAATACAACTCCAATTCTGGGGGATCTGACACCCACTTCTGGCTTCTACAGGCATGGCACACATGTGGCCTACATACATAAAGACAAAACGCTCACACACATAAATAACTTGATCATAACATAATTAAAACAAAACAAATTGAACATAACAAATCTCTATTGGTGGGCATACATGTATAGAAATAGATGACCACGACATCAAAGTGACATGAGTAAATGTAACTACTGAGAAAAGTGTTTATAACTGTTGGAATAATGATTGATATTGACACAAACTACATTTACAATTACACGTTAATTGTACTCCCCATGATGAGGAAAGTACCTAGAGTGATGATGAAAGAAAAAGGACTTAAAAACTAGGAAACTGTCAAAGCTGATGCTCATTTTAGCTTTAGAATAGTGTCCTTTTAATTCACTGACCTTGTGAATGGTAAAGGACGAGAGCGGTGGCTCTCAACCTTCCTAACGCTGGGAACTTTAACACAGTTCCTCATGTTGTTGTGAGCTCCAACTGTAAGATTATTTTGCTGCCACTTCATTAATTTTGCTACCATTACAAATTGTAATGTAAATATCTGGTATGCAGGATGTTAAATATGCAAACCCAGCAAAAAGATCATTTGACCCCAATGGGGTCATGATCCAGAGTTGAGAACCACTGCTCTAGACAGGGGTGTGTGACAGCCACCAGCTTGTCTATACTTCCAACCCAGCACAGCTTTGGTGAAGATGCCAGCGACCAAAGGCACTGACTTGAAAACTTTGAAATGGTCTTATGCTATGTGCATGACCTTTCATTCTAAATAAACCCATTTTTCTGTGTTTTCCTGTGTTTGGAGGATGTGTGAGTGAAGGGCTAGATCAATGGGTGGATTGGATTGGTTAAAAGAGAAAAGGATGCATGGATGAACTGGTGGTTGGGTAAATAGGGGGATGGAGGGAGGAAAGAAAGCACAATGGAAAGGCAGGAGAAGAGGGAGCGGACCACGGCCCAGTGGCACACACGGTTCTGAAGACTTGTCTTTAGGCTTGGTCCTGTGAGGCTGTGTGTCCTTAGCGAGGCTGTGTGTGCTTAGTGAATGGCCAGCCAAGCGGTATAGACTGGTACAGAGTGGGCACTTACTCCTTGGCAGATCTTTTAAAGTTGGGACTGTGGAACAAGAGAGGGGCAGAGGTAGAAGCCACGCTCAGAGTCGTGTAGTTTCAAAGCTGATGCTCACTGGGCTCCAGAGCGGTGCCACTCATTACAGTGTCCTTGTGTACAGTAAAGCTCTAGACAGATGTGAGGGACAAATGAACCTGGGCACACTTTCCAAACCTTTGAAACGGTTCTCACCATTGGGATGGCTTTTTAAACTGACCAGTCAGGGACCCTTGTGTCACTGCTATGAAGTTTGCAAGCTCTTTTCTCCTGAAGAGTCCCCGAGGACATTTCAGGAGGCTACCTGGCTGAGTGCAGCGTCAACCAGCCCTCTAGGATAGGCCCTTGCTTCATGCTAACACAGAGATGAACAAGGTCCCGTGTTAACTAGTGAATGGCAGCTGGAGAGAAGGAGCAGAAGACAATTAAGGGTATGCACGTAGCTACTTGCAAAGCTGAGGAGAACTCAGGCACACCCTGCTGTCTAGGGCTTGTTTTACACACCTGTTTCCTTGGCTACACAACACCAAAAAAAAAAAAAATGTAAATCAGGGGTGGGTTGGGGTTGAGCAAATCCCTGGGTTCAGTCCCCACTGCATCAACGGGGTGTGGGGAACACACCTATAATCCCAGCTCTAAGGAGGTGGAGGCAGGAGAATCAAAAGTTCAAGGTCATCCTCAGCTATATAGCATGATGGAGACCCTCTTGGAACACATAAGACCCTGACTCCTCAAGAAACAAACCAACACCCAAGTAAATAAAGAAGGAAGGAGAGGGAGGAAAAGAGAAAGGCATCCTCACCTTTAAAGAAGATGTGGTTCACCAGGACCATGGCTGTCTGAGAGTCAAGCTCTTGGATGACATCTACCACCTTCCCTCTGGTCTCCTTCTCCACATAACTGTTGATCCTGGCCTGAGCAGTGACAGTGTTTGAGAAGTCTTCAGAAAAGACTTTTGTTCCATAAAGCCTCTTGGCCCTGTCCAGAAAAGTGGCCTGTAGCTGCAGCTCCTTCCTGATGAAGAGGACACTGCCCATCCTCAAGTCCCGGTCTTTGTGGCACACATTCAGCGAGCGGACCAGTTGCTCAAAGCCCAGGTGGATGGTGGACTCCGGCACGTGTGAGAGGTTGAAGCCAAGGCTCCGGAGGATTTGCATCTTGGTGGCTGAGCGGGCTCCCAGGGACAGCATGGCTAGGGAAGTTGAGATACTCACAGGAGAAAAAAGGACATTCTGACCTGGGCTTTCCTGAGCCAGCCTCTGGTACAGAAAGAAGGCGAACTTGGTGTTGCTGGGAGACACCTGGGAGGCTGGGTTGCCCTTCATGCCGGGAGGCTGGGGAGACTCTCTGTTGCGGGGATTGGATGCCCACATGCAGAAGATTGGGGCACAGAAGCCAGCCAACAGGAGAACTCGGTAAAAGCAAGAGCCCATTTGGAAGCAAGGACGTCTGTAAAATAGAAGGGACCCACTGTGAGGGGGCAAGCTGAGGGTCCAGGTGGGGACCTCCCACTCTTCCATGGAGTCTCTTGTGAGCCTCACAGAAAGCTTGCCAAGTCACTGCTGTGTGTGTTCTGATCCTGCAGTGAGCAAGAGGGCCTCATGAGGGCATGGTTGTGTAACTTGGCACAGTCACAGGCAAGGTTATATGCTAACTGGGATGCCACTCAGGGTTCCAGCCCAACCTCCAGGCCTTTTGCTGTTTCTTATTCCTCCATCTATGCCTTAAACCATAGGGAAAGTGAAAGCATGTTGCCTTCCAAACACGAGGACCAAAATCCCGATTCTTAAAGTCAGAAGTGACTTCCAGCCCTTCAAAGCTGCCTCGTTTACCTAGCATGTGCTAAGCCTTGGGGTTCCATCTCACACAGAAACTGGGGATGGTGTCAAATGCCTGGAATCCAGGCACTACTGGGGGTAGAAGGAGAACAATCTGAAATTCAAGGTTATCCCCTGCTACATAGGAGCTCAAGTACAGCCTAGGCTACATGAGACACTGCCACACACACACACACACACACACACACACACACACACACACACACACAAAAGACAGTTTGTAGTTCCAGTATTTGGGATGTAGAAGCAGAAGCAGGTGGATCTCTGTGAGGCTGAGGCCAGCTTGGTCTACACAGCAAGATTCAGGCCAGCAAGGGCAACATAGTGAGACTCTGCCTAAAAAGGTGGCAGGCATCCATGATGGGGTATGTTGCCTGTAACACCATCCCTAGGGCAAGGAGTACAGAGAAGGCAGGAAGATTGCCATGGCCTCCTGGCCAGTCTGAGCTACGTAGCCAGATTCTGTCTCAAAGTAAGGAAGGGGGAGAAAGCAAAGAGAGGGGAAAGGAAGGGGTGGAAGAAAAGGAGAAACGCAGAACAGACAGCTGTTCTTGGATGTGTGAGCTCCCTGGTGCTTTTGAGCAGCTAGTGCCAGCTGGGACTGCCCCTCCCCTCAAACCTCAACTTAGAATGACCTTGGAGATGAGGAGTGGGAAATCAGAGTGTTAAATTGAATTAAGTTTGGCCTAAATGTTTTTCCGTACAGGATGAACTGTAACTAGTTGTATAAACATACTGGAACCTATCGGTGTAACAAGCAGGGGTGCTAGCCAATCACACATGGCCGACTGTTCAAAACAGTCAGAAAAGGTGGTCACAACTCCATTAGGCTGTCCCCAGCTCACTTGTATTTTCCATAGGTGACCTGTTGTCCCTGTGAATTAAACCTATCTATGTGGAACTTTATTTTCTTGTTGTTCTGTTTGCTTCCTGAATCTCCCAATGTAGCCCAGCCTGGCATGACCTCATGATCTTCCTGCCTCCACTTCCCAAGTGTAGAGATTACAGGAAGGTACCACCATGACTAGTACCTGGAGAATTCTGAATGGCTTCTGATTCAAACTATGCCTGATTCTGTCAACAAAGCCAACTGAGATCTGCAAAACCAGAGCTTGGGGAGGTACTTTGGTCAGTAAAGTGTTTGCCTTGCAAACCCAAGGACCTGAGTTCAATCCCCAGAGCCCAGGTTTAAAAAGCCCACATGTTGATACGACCTTGTAGTCCCAGGTCCGGAGAGGCAGAGACCTGCAGAATCCTGGGGCTTGCTGGGCAGCCTACCCTACTTGACAGACTCTCCACCAGCAACACGCCCTGTCCCAAAAACAGGGTGAAAGGAACCACCGTGAGGTGACACCCAAGATTGTCCTCTGACCTTCACTTGCATGGCTACACACACAGGAGCACACACACACACACACACACACAAAAGATACACAAAACTAGATCTGTTGTCAACTTCTCAAGACTATGTGACTCAGCAGGAGTAGGAAACCCCAGTAGAGCAGGGCTAGGTCTGCATCAGCTCTGACAAACCTCAGTCCTCAGTCTTGTTTTCATAAACAGAAGTCAACCTCAATTGGTTGACCAATTGAGAGTAGCACAATAGGTTCTCAATAAATGACTTTCATTTGCTACCACTTTAACTGAGTTTGACAATTTGATTTAGGACAATGTTGTACAGTGATCATTCTAGGCTTCCCAACCCTGTCCACTTCCCAAATCGCCCCTATGCCATCTGTAAGGTTTCTGCTTTAACACGCTTTTAGAGCGGTGTTCTGGCCCTGTGGCTTGTCTTTGAGATTCAGTGAAGGATGAAGACAATGGACTAAAAGGCAGTGTGGGACCTGGGCCACATCAAAGGGGGAAAGAGGAGGCATATGCTCTGGCAAGTCCTGAGCTTTGAAGTCTTTTCTAGTCCTTATTTTCTAGCCTCTTCTTTAAGCTCTAGAAGCCTTCCCTCCATCCCCTTTCTAACAAGCCCCTTACCCTCTGTTGGACTTTGCTCTCTGCTCACTTACAGTGTGAAGAGCTGCCACTTATTCTTGTCATGGGGACGTCCTTAAATTTCACCTCTGGGTGAGGACGAAAGACCTCGCTCACAAAACAAGATTTAGCTGACAACTGAAACAGTTACTTCATCAATGTGGAGAAGGGAAAAGAAAAGAGGCCCTTGCCCCAGACTCACAAAACTACCCACATAGCTATATACCTGGCCTTGTGGGATGACTGAACAATTCCCACAGCATGTGATGTGAGTAAATTTAGAGGGGTCTGCGTGGAGAATCCTTTTACAAACTTCTAATTCAGCTTTGTAGCCCTGCGTGTGCCTGTCCGGAAGCAGGGCTATCTCTGTAAGGATACTCACAGCCCTCACTTCTTGGCTTTTCATCAGTCTGCTCTATGCTGACCCTAAGATGACCATGCAGAGCTCTGCCTCTCCCTTCTCCAAGAGACCACACTGTGGGGTGCCAGGCAAGCTGCAAACTGAACTCTGCCACCCCCTCCATTCTCTTCTCTCCTTGTCTCCTGCATTGTCCTGAAGGCCCTGACACACACATACACACCCTCTCTCTGACTGTGTCCTTCAATGTTCCCTGGAATCTCCACCATTCCAGCCTTCACACCTTCTCTGGAGTATAGGCAAACACCCTCCAAGGGCTGACCTCACTCCCTACCTTCAACCTCAAAGATGCTCAGTGCTGTGTCTGTCATCTGTTTGCCCGTGCTTGACAGTAATAGCCATCTACTGTGAGATACCTCTCACCAGTCTCCCTACCCCCTTGCCCAGCAGTACTGGTTCACCTCCCCATCACTCCACTGCTCACCCCCGTCTAACACTGAGGGTAGCTCTGGTGGAAAGCGAGATGATGCCTGCAGAGCACCCAACGATGCATATGGTGCACAATGGACAGGGGCTTGAAGCAGCTTCTTGCTTTGTACTTGGAAGGAAGAAGGTACAGAATGTCCCTCTCTATTCATAACCATTAGAGAGGGGGTGAAGCTAAACAAAGAGGGTATTGCCTGTATGCACAGGGTGAGGGTGTCTCTGTCACCTGCCCTCAGGCAAGCTGCTGTACCATGTAAGAGCTCAGAGGAAGGAAGTCCCAAACAGGCCCTTCCAAAAAGCCTGAGGTTCCTCAAGACCCCGGTCATCATAGTCTCTGAAAACATCTCCAGCCAGAGCTCATTCTGCCAACTTTCAAACCAGCTTCACTCCCGCTCCAGTCTTCCAGAAGTCAGCTTTGGTACTCCAATGGCTGTCTCAACTCTTGTCACTCTCCTAGTCCTGCCAAACACTGTTGTAGCTCAGGTGAATGCACACATTCTGCCAGCGGGCTCCACCTGTTGGGGTGTCAGGGACCCTGTCTTTCCTGGGCTTGCATCCTGGCCCATCCCTCCCATTAGCCTGGCTTTTATCCCACCCACTATTGTCTCTCAGGGCTATTACCCAAATGCCTGCCACTCCTGTCACTCATCAAACTACAGACAGGACAGCTTCCTCATGCAGGGCTGGCATGTCACTCCCAATTCCTCACAGGCCCCTTGGAGCTCAGAAGAAACACCCAAGCTCCTGTCCTGTGTGCTCTTTTTCCACTGTGCCCAGTCTCACCTTGCAGGTGCCCAGCTTATTTTATCATGCTATCAGTGACCACAGTTCCCAGCTTCAAGTGTTTCCTGCTCCAGCTTGGCTACGAAGCATTTTATCCAACCTATACCCTTCCCCACCCGAGACCCAGCTTTTGTAAGGTGTCCTAGCCTGGTGGCTCTCAGCCTGCTAGAACCTATTCCTGTGCCTCCACTTTGTCCAGCATACCTGGGGAAGTTGGCTCCACTGCTTTCCTACTGAATGGAGGAAGACATCTTTCCAATAGACCTGCACCCAGACACAGGACACATGCAGCCGTTACACACACACACACACACACACACACACACACACACACACACACACA